TCACTCACCCAATTTTAACCTTTTGCACTCGAGAGGCGCCCTTCATTAGCCATTTGATAAAATTTCGAAGATCTATATTAATTAATATATCAAACTTAAGATAACGTAACAGTGTGCAAGCTATCGAAATTAAATAATTCTACGTGTTAATTATTATACAATTTCTTACTTACTGCTCAAAATAATATCATTAGCTTTGTAGCAGAAAATCTTTGAACTCCTACTCTTCTTTAGCCAAAAAATGGTCGAGTGCAAAGGGTTAATAACTGCAACATTTAGGTATTCACTCTTTGATATTTCTCAAACAACTGTTTCATCCTTGCACATTCTTTTAAACATTTTTTCGAATATCATTCACACTAGACGCCACTCGGTCACATTATATATGTATAAATAGAATTGGAATGAGTACGGCCCTGAAAAAATGTCAATAGTGTTTGGTTGTTAGAACGAAAGTGATCACGTGCAAAAGGATTGACTGCAAAGAATATTTATAATAGAGTCGAGTGAAAGTTTAGGGATCCGTTCAGAGTGGTTGAAGTGCTTGGCCCACCGAGGTTACGTGGGAAAAGGGCATGATTGGGATAGAAAGCCTGGGTATGAAGGAGGACAAAATGATTGATTTAACACTAGAACTACTGATCTTTAATGGATACCTAACTATAACGTGCACAGATTATAGTGATTTCGGCGGTACGATGAATATGATTGAATATATCGATTACAGTTCTTTCTTAACCACTTGCGGTGGAAAGATGTGCCACTCACGTCGAGACGCTTCTGTTACCGGAACACCAGCAACGTGTTACACACGTCGTCAGGCGATTGTTCCAGAAAGAAAAATGACGTGCGTGGCACGTCAACTGTTAATGAAATTCTTTACCGAGGCACAGTTTCTGCTTGCACTTCGTCGTGTAAAGTTATCAGTATTGACCCCAGACTGCAAAATGGAAAGTGATAGTGAAGCCAGTGATACTATATGCGCCCTGATGTGATTTGCACTCGACTGTTCTGGCACGCGCAACCGTGAATTTCTTTGCACCGCAAGTGGTTAATACGAGTTGATACCAATTTTATTCTTAAAACAGGTGTATGTGTTCGGTGATTGCAAAAAGGAATATTCTAAGACCAGTCATTTTCACTGGGTTGGTAGTTCTAGTGTTAAATAAGAGTGCAAGGGCGCGGGCGACTCAGTCTGTAAGAGATTTTTAAGCCAATCTTCTTGCAGTCTTGAAGAGTGTGTGTAAGAAGTTCAAGTCTGTCTAACAGTTCAATTTAAGAAAGATCAGAAGAGCGTGCCTGTAGTGAATCTCTCTCTTGTTTCATAGTCAGCCGCCCTCGTTCTATTTATAAGCTTATTTCATTCTATTAACCCACTTGCATCCGAGCGCGGAATATTCCGCGAGACTCGTCTGTCTACTATCACCAAGTGCGGAATATTCCGCGAGCCGTGACGGTCTACTATCACCAAGCGCGGAATATTCCGCGAGCCCGCTACTCTCTACTATAAGTTCTAATTTTTATTTAAATAATTATATTCTATTTATAAAATAATATTTGTTTCTTTCCTTTTTCATAAAAAAATGTAAAATGCGATGTTTGCGATGTAACATTGTATATCAATCGTTTTACACAGTACAGTTTTAATAAACTCCGCGAACAATTTGGATGTCGTTTACTGCATGTAAGACACCACGCCCGGTGGTACCAGCCAGTCGTCAGTTGAACGTCGTTGATGTTTCAGCGCGGTAGCTTAAGTAAAGTCATGATGCAAATGGGTTAAGAAGCCAACAATACTATCTTAAGTCAATCCACCCAAAATCCGAATCTACATATATATCACACATTGCACAATTATAGGACAAAGTGAGTTTCGTTCGTTCAACATCATTCATGCTCCCACACACATAAAACCAACACTCACGATAACAACACAAACACAGTTACTCGTTGGATCACCTTTATTTGTCTTACATGGTTTCATATTCTTTATCATCTGATATCAAACTGTTACAAAGTTCTTCAGTATCTCAATCATTGTGTTCTGAATTGATTATACAGGTCCTTCATGTGAAGAAGACAAACGGACCAAATAAACAAAATCAACATTACGTACATTATGATAGGAAATCTTGATGGAAAGTTGCTATCTATTTCATGTACATTGTTACTCGTGGATATTATATTTAAATGAATGTATCAAATATTTATTAAACAATATTATAGCTCAAGGTATAAATAATCGATGAAATATATCTAATTATGTTTACTCTTTTTCACGATACTCGTACATGTTAGTGGTGGATGAAATATTAATAACAATAAGAACAGTTCTTTATTTAATCACAAAGATTATCAAACACAAATATTAAGTTTAAATATAATTAATTTATCACAATCACATGTTCCCGCCTCTTCTCAGTATTAAAACTCAATTGCAACTTATCTATGCCGAATCACTCTCGTCTTTTTCTTTCTTCTTTCATACATTATATTACATACAAAAATCACATAACACCTCAATCATTACACGCATACTCATTTATCACAATAACCTGAATTCATTACATATTGGCATCCCATGTATACTTGTTCTATTCATCCCTTTCTTATATACATCACTCCTTTATTATATCGACACATACATATTTAAAAGTCTATGTAACCGTTACCACAGTACACACGTTTACTCACAACGAATTCTGAATTGCAACTGACCTATCCAACTACTCTCTCATTTCTTCTCTTTCCTTTCATATATTACATAAATATACACAGTCTATAACACACTCCATTCATTGCATGCATACTCGATCCACTCATTCTTTCTTAGAGACATCATTTATTTTTACATCAATATATATTAAAATCTAAGTCAACCATTACTACATAAAAAATATTTCTTTGTTATTCTATAACAAAACGCTTATTTTGAAACTTTATATAACAATTTTGTTTTCTTTTGATCTTAAATTACGTTCTTATAATTTGGTGAAAGAGCTCCGAGACACCCTGTATATAGTTTTTAAGATCAAATATAAAGTCACTGCAGAAAATAAGGTGTTATTCTGAGAAAATTATTCTAAAAAATAATTTTTAGTATCTCAAAATTACACAAGAGGTACACAAAAATTATGTATACTTATTATGAAAATTAGAAGAATTGGTAGAATAGAGCACCAGCATTGGTAGAATAGAAATAAAATAAGCTGAAAGATGAACACTCTGTACGTTGAGAAATAATAATTATTAATAATAATATATAAAAAAATAAATAAATTGCTAGTAAATATTTATTCGCCCCGAATTACTTATCAATTTGTGATTCGGCTTACTATGAAATAAAAATTATAGAGATGAGTAATATAGATTGTAATTAGAGGAACTTTCTTTAATAAGTGGATGGACAGATTTAAATAAAACCATAATTAAATTATAATTATAACTTTTTTGGATAAACCTAGTTAAGTTATGAGCAACTGTATCTATATTTATATGCAATTAACACTTACGTGTTTTTGAAAATATTTTTCATTTTAACTTTCATTGTTACAGATATAATCATCCGAAGCAAAAATGAAGATACAAGATAATATTATTTATGGTGATCCAGTGGAAGAAGTACCCAATGTTTCCTTAGGGCAACATTTGTTCGATAAGCTACGAACTAATGCTGATCATCTTGCACAAGTAAGTCAAAAATATTTTCAAATAACGTGTTAATCATATTCTGAAATATTCTAAAATATTAAATTAGTTATCCATGATCGATGAAAACATTTATGGCGTTCCGAAAAAGTTCATGAATATTTTCGTGCATGCATTTTTATAACAACCAATTAAATGGTTCAGAAATGTTTCTGAATGTCTTATGCGACTCGTGTTATTATTTATGATCACGCTTTCATGATGTGTAATTCGTTGATTCACAAAATTTTTAGCAACTGTTAGAATTGAATGAATTGTATGTAATAACAAATAACGAATAATGAATAACGAGTGACGACGAGTGACGACGAGTGACGACGAGTGACGACGAGTGACGACGAGTGACGACGAGTGACGACGAGTGACGACGAGTGACGACGAGTGACGACGAGTGACGACGAGTGACGACGAGTGACGACGAGTGACGACGAGTGACGACGAGTGACGACGAGTGACGACGGGTGACGACGAGTGACGAATGACGATATTATTTGTTATTTGTGCATAACAATTATATTCGAAGAAAAATTGTTTATTATTTGCTAATAACTTTATTATTCGTAAGATTCATATTCGAATACAATTCTATTTGTTATTTCAAGGAGTTCAATCAAAACACATTTATGGAAATTCGAAATTAAATTGACTTAGATTTGTGAAATTTGAGATTTGTAGGATTAAAGAGATTGAACTTACACCTATGGTATTTCGAAATTATGTAAACCGTAATTACGTTTATGAAATATCACAACAAAATAGATTGAAGTCGCTCACATGAATTTTTCAATGTTTACAATTTACAGACATTGTTAATAATAATTATAGCACTGCTTTTATCTAAATTCGTATTAAATGTAATGCCATAAGCGAGCTCTGTCAATGTTTACTTTAATACATTTTCTAGAGCGTGTAGCACGAGAATTATTACCCAAATCATAAACACCTTCGAATTAAACAAAGTTTATTTAAAATAAAATAATTAATACATTTTTTATCGCAGTATATAGAATAATGTTCATGTGTTAATATTTTAGATAGACATTGAATCTGATAAACATTACACGTGCAGAGAAATTCTTGAAAAAAGCGTGATTTTGTCCACTGTTTTGAAAAATTATGGAATCAACATCGAAGACAGAATTTCCACTGCAAGTGAAAATCATCCCAATTATATACTATCGATATGTAGTACACTATTTGTCGGAGCTACATTTGCACCTTTGAATCCAGCATACACTGAAAGTAAGTAATAATACTTTATTAATTCTACAAATTATTTTTAAATATAAATGAAATAAGTTAATAGAAAATAAAAAATGAATTTTGAATTGAATCTAATGTTTATGTACAGTTAGTTTCAAAAATAGTCCGACACTCGTATAATTTCATTTTTATACTTCATATTTTATAGAAATTTGAATAAAATGTATTATGTTACATTACTATGTATATATGTAGTGTGAGTGTCATTGGATGATTAAGGTTTTTGTCTATGTGATAAAGTCTGTGGTGTGGATATGATATGTGAGAGGCACGTCTAGTATAAATAATATTTTGAAGAACCTCCTAGGGCAGTTGACAAAATGACTTAACTTCAATTGATGATAGAACTTTTTATAATTAAAGAAGAAAATATAAAATAAGTAGATAAGTAGATAAAAGAAGTACCCAATGACTACATATTGTTAATCTGTTACAAGTCTAAATTATGTTACATTTATAGAATTAATAGTAAAATTTTGAATATATTATTTATGATCCTGACATTGAATTTTGATGTAGATGAATGTACCTCACAATTGTTACCAATAATACGTGTAATGTTGTATACATATAGATTAAATTTCAAAATATTGGTCATAACTTAAATTATAATTATGTAGAAATTAATGATTACGTACATTCTCAATATAGTATATTATATTTCTAGTATTTATTTATAAATTTTTGTAATATGTATCATATATATATATGCATATGTGATATACAAATATAGATATATTTATACACTATATTTACATTCATATATTTTGTAAGTTTTAAGACTATTTTATATATTTATTATTATATACATATTGAATCGTATAAACAAATCAGATAATTTCAAGCAGCAAATTATGTAAGAGAATTTATTTAGTATTAAAAAGCGATTTACAAAATGTACATTGGATAAATTATTCGTAATAATTTAATTATGCGATCGATTATATATTTTATTAAATTATTATATTTGTCTAAAAAAAAAAAATTAATTTCTCTAAATTAATTTAATCTAGGAGAGTTTAGGCACATGTTGGAAATATATCAACCACGAGTGATATTCGTATCCCAACGTACTGAAAAGATCATCGCAAAAGTTGTATCCACTGTAAATTGGAGTACGAAATTGATACAATTGGAAGATCAGTCGCTCAATCGAAATATAATGACGCTGAAGGAAATTTTGGAAAAAAATAGAAATATTCCGGATCCTTACACGTTTACACCAGTGCAAATAGACGACATCAGTAAAAGAGCGGCAGCCATTTTGTGTTCTAGTGGTACGACTGGTTTTCCAAAAGGAGTGATGCTGTCCCATCGAAGCTTACTAATTTTCATCCACACTACAAAGTAAGAAACATTGAATTGTACCTACTGCACCTAAACTGTACCTACATAGCCATGTTCAATAATGTTCAAAAATTAATGTTCAAAAATTTATGCACAAAAGTCGTAAATATAGTTTCTTCATACAAAAGAAAATCCAGAGATCTAGTTTGTTTTTTTAAACAGAGGTATCAATTTTATATCAATTTAATTACTCAATTTCAACGGAGCAGTGAATTTTGAGTATAAAAATATTGAGCTAAATTTGTCCTGGAAAATAATTATTCTCAAGAAAATTTTCTTATTCTCACTTTAAAACTTCCTCTCGAAGTTAAATACTTTTCCTATTGTATATGACGATTATTAATTATTCGTAACAATTCATAACAACTATTAATTATTCGAAACGTTAGTGTCTCTGTTTATTCAAATACTTCTTTGTCATTTATTCGAATAATTCATACAAACATTTTATATTGTTATTTATTTGTCATTATTTGTCATTTGATTGCCATCTTTGTCATTTATTCCAATAATTCATACGAATATTTTTATTACTAATTATTTTAACTATTTGTTTTCTAATTATTACTTTATTACAATACTAATATTTATACTAATTTATTGCTTTCCTTTTTATTGTGTTTTATAATTTTTATACTAATTTTTTATAGCAATTTTTTACTAATTTATACCAATTATTACTTTTTATTTAACTAATTATTATTATTTATTTTAACAAATTATTTTCACTTAATTTTGAACGCTTATATTTCCTATATTTTGCAAATAAAATATAAATATTAGAAGAAGGAAATATCAAAATTATGTTATTAAAATTAGAAAATCATTCGAATAAAGTGAGATAACCATGATAGCACCAATATACTCAATAGAAAATTGCCTCAAGATTGACACAACAGCAAGAAATGAGTCAGTATTGTATTGAAACTTCATTTTTCAATTAATGGTATCCTCGACTAATACAATACTTTCTAATACTGCGTACATCTGTATATATCCGTACTCTAAACATCATATTGCTGAATTATTTTCCAATTTTATTGATATAATTTTGAGATACCGATTTGTTTCAAATATCATATACTTTTAAATATTCTGCTTTAATTTATCATATTTCTCTTGTTAAAGGTAGAAAATTTTAAATTCGTATATTTTTCTCTGTGAGTGTACATTTACTAATTGAATATTTCTATTTAAGATACATCTGTATCGTGTTTTTATTTCTTATTTATGTATTATATTTTCTAATTACGTGTAGTTAGCCAATTTATGTTACGGTACAAAGACACGAATACAACTGCAGAAGTAAAATACATCAAACGTATCAATTATACTTACAAATTTCACCTGAACATTTCAAATGATAATGTAATAATTATCATCATAATTACATAAATTTTTATTCTTATATGAATAATTTTATTTATTACATATTAAATATACCAAAATTAATAATTTTGTATTATTTTATTAATTTATTAATAAATACTTATTTATATACATTCTTGTTCGATTAAATATCAATATATTTATAGTAACACAAATTTTATTCCTTATTTCTTTCTCGTTATCATCATCTATTATCTAACAAAATTTTACTCACCCCGATTTTGAATACATTCGTTCATATTGAATGTTTCTAATTAAAGGGGCCCCAAACTGATGGACATGCGACAAGGAGACCGAACTTTAATTTTCCTGCCACTGTTTCACGGTTATGCATTCGGCTTGATAAACCAAACGATAAGTTCTGGTGGCATAGCGTGCATAATGCGAAATTTCAATTTGGAAATGTTACTGAAATCCGTTGAACGATTCAGAATTTCGCATATACCTTTGGTCCCTCCAATTTTAGTAATGCTAGCGAAGCATCCAATGGTAGAAAAATATGACTTCAGCAGCGTGAGGGAGATAACAAGCGGCGCGGCACCACTTCCACAGAACGTAAGTTTCCCGTTGAAGTTCGTTAATATCGAGAAAGTTAAGTCAACACGAAGAAGTTTGAAGCTCGATGGTGAAACGCGAAAGAGTATTCCTTTTTTCCTTTTCTTTCACGAGGCGCAGAATCAATTAAAAATGAACTTCAGTGTGGCGCTTAAAGGAAAAACGGAAAACCTATTACGCATTTTTATTCCCTGTGATTAACATCGATAGTTAAGGATACAGCTATTCCCATTTATCATTTTATATATCCGTTACAATTTCTTATATAAAGACTTACATTTATCTGGCATGAAATTAAAGTTTAATACATATTGGAGCATATCATCTGCAACGTGTAGCAGTAAAACAGGCTAAAGAATCGAGGTGTCAGACCCCTGATAGATATGTCCACTGACGACAGCACTAAATGGACTCCCAGCTTGATTCGTTTGACTACATCCAGACCTGACCAATATTCAAGGGATGGACTATTCTATCCTTAAATAGGTACCAATTAAGACCAATTAAAATTTATTCCCCTACGACATAAGACGACTGACAAATAAAGTTGCGGCCCAAGGACCGAATATCACAAGTTAACACTTTACCAATCGGTAGCAGGTCAACATCCTATACCCTTCTCACCGACCACACACAAGGAGAGCACAAGTCCTTCGGGTCACCGATTTAATTGAAACTTCATAGGTTTGTAGATATCGTCATGCAGTTCAAGAATATGTATCATTATAGCCGCCACTACTCGATAGTTTTTGAGATATTTGCGATTAAAGTTTTATTACTTCGGTAACTACTGATTTATTTCTTGTGGTTTTCAAGTGGTGATGTGGCTTAATAGCGATACTGGAAAATTCATATGATGCAGGTCCGGGTTGGACTCCCGTCTCTAGTTGGTTTTTCCTCTTCAATCTATTTTTTATTTCATATTCATTTTTCGCTTATGAAAACATTGTAAATTAACAATTGTAAATCAAATTTCTTAATCAAAAAAATTTATTTTTTACGATTTCTTATACTAGTATATATTTGTTACAGAATAATAAGAATACAATGCAAGGAAAACAGTTTTCTATAGCAATCTTATTAACCCTTTGACTGCCACGTCGAAGTCATATGTTTCTCTCGGGAAACGAGAGTGCACCGCTAGATGCAAGATTTATCCTAACATATTTTTGATGTTCTAATAGAAATTTTTAATTGTTCAATGGGGCACTTTTTATTTCAAAGTATCTTCTAATTAGCGGTTATATTCAAAATGTACTAATTGTCAATTTTCATTCAATGTTGCTCAATGAAGTTTAAGTAGTTCAAATGTTCCGGTCACCAATGACCACCGTGGCAGGCAGTGTTAATGTCTAGTAAATATCTCAAAAACTGTTGAGTAGTGGAGGCTATAATGATACATATTCTTGAACTGTATGACGAAATCTACAAACCTACAAAGTTTCAATTAAATGGGTGACCCGAAGGACTTGCATTCTCCTTGTCAGCCGCAGATCTTCCCTGGCACCGGCTCTGTTTCGGTTTACAATTAGACTGTCGCGCGGGAATATATGTAATATGGGAATATTGTCATATTTCAAAATTTTGTAAAAATATGGGAGCTTACAAAGTAAAGCAACTAGTATCTCAATACAAAGTAACAAATGCTTGTTAATTGTCATAGTAACCGATTAATCGACCACTGGTCGGTGAGCGTTGGGGACAAAAAGTCGATTAATCGTCCACCAGTCGGTAAAATGTTAAGTGGAGGACTGTTTATATCTTTATTGCCAGCGTCTCTTGATTCGTATACGCTCGTTATTACCTAGTCACCACTTGGGTGTACCTTAGCAAGGGTCCTTAGAGTGATTCCCAAATTATCCTTAAGACGATAGGCATAAGGACTCAAATTATTCAAACATCCACCACCACCGAAAGACGTCAAATCTATCACACACCCCCAATATTATTCACAACCAATAGGAAGACACACACACACTCGACGGCTTTTTCGTTACAGGAAAAAAGTAATTCGAACACTTTCTGCCATAAAGTCGATGATATTTTTAAAACGGTAAATAAGAAATCGTATGCAAATTAAGACGTAGAATTATTTTATTTCAATATTCCATACATCGTTGGGTAATTGTAGATTTGATATATCAATTAATATCCATCGCTAGAATTTATTTAAACGACGACTGAGGGGCGCCTCTCGAGTGCAAAGGGTTAAGAAATTTCAACCAAATCATGTTCAACCAACTCTATCACTAGTCTATGTACTTATATCTCTTTCAGGTAGCGAATGAAGTGAAGCGACGTACAAAAGTGGGATCTATCCGAAATGGTTATGGTATGACAGAATTGACGATAGTATCGAACATAAGCGATAAGACCTGCCTCGATGACACCATAGGTCCCATAATGCCTGGCTTCAAGTGCAAAGTGGTAGATACAAAAACCGGCAAGACACTTGGCGCGGGGCAGTCTGGAGAAATTTGCTTCATGGGTGACCAGGTTATGTTGGGGTACTATAAGAACCCGAAAACCACAGCCGAGACGATTGACAGGGAGAATTGGCTGCATACTGGGGACCTGGGGTATTTTAAGGAAGATGGATGTCTGTACATTACAGGGCGTATAAAGGAACTTATTAAGTATAAAGGTTTCCAAGTCTCGCCGTCCGAGATTGAGGCAATAATACTGACGCATCCAGGTGTTAAGGACGTTGCAGTGCTGGGTAAGCCCGACGAACTGAGCGGGGAAGTACCGATGGCCTTGGTAGTGAGGCAGCCTGGTAAAAATGTATCGGTGAAAGAAATTGTGGATTTCGCTAATGGTAAGCTCGTTTTCTTCTTACTTTTAGCATATAGACTTATCGTTAGCGTAGGGCTTACAAAGGACAAGCTGGGAAATAAAGAAATTGTGTACGTCTTTTAAAGGAATTTATTGATAATTAGAAATAAATTTTATATTTAACAATTGGTTTGGAAGTATCATAACTAATAGTAATATTATCAATTGTGGTGTAAAAATATTGTTATTATGAGAGAAATATGACAGTAATTAATTTCAATTGCGATTTAAAAATATTATTGCAATAAAGGGAATAATAATAAAAGGAATTATGTTAATTATATGAAAAATAATGATATTTTTAATTGTGATGTAAACTGCAGGTATTACTATTGTGTTCCAATGAAATGTTCAGCTGAGGAAGATGAATTAATTTGTTATCTGGTTTGCAAATATTTTAGACATAGTAATTGAAAATTGATAAAAAATGAGGGAACAACTCCTTGAGTCGTAAAACTAAGAAAGATATTCATGTATTTTCAGTATGAAATTCGTAATAGTAATGAAAATATGATTTTGTCAAAGTTGTATGAGTAAAATTATCATCGGAAAATTATTAAAAAATTTTAAAACCTTAAATTTTCTAGAAAAAAAAGATTATGATTAACCATATTAAGCTAAAGAATTTTAATAATTTTTAATCTGATGAAATTTTATTCAGAGATAATTCAATTACATTATAGTACCTTATGATAATGAACCAATTTTTATATAAATAATTTTAAACGAATACAAGAATTTGCAAATTTTCCTCCAAAATTATAAAAATGTTTCTTATATCGAATGAAAATTAAAAAATTAATTTTATATAATTCACTACACATATTATTCCGACATCAACCCAGATAGATATTCATAGGCAATAATAAAAATATATTTAAAAAATTTTTATATATTTTTCAAAACTTCATGGAAAAGATATGATTGAAATACAATATTCTGACAAATTCAAATTGTGCATGAATAGTTTCGAAACATATAACAAGTATTAAATTTTGTCCTAATACATATTAATATCTATTAATATAACAACTAATTACCAATATAGTCATAGTAATTACATCTCATTACAATATTAATGATTTCCTATAGCACATAATATGTTCATTGAACTTCACAAAAACAAGCATCCAAATGTTTTCATAATTCGCTATGTATTTTAACAATATACTGTTTAACAATTTCTTAAGTACAAAATTTAAATATAATAATATGAAATAGATGAAGTACAAAACAAAAGAGTAAAAGCATTCTTTTCCTAATTCCAAAATATGGAATATGCTTTTTTTACAAATTGTTGTTATACTGATAATTTTCTAAAAATACCTATAATAATTAATTAATTACAGTTTAGCTATAAATAATTTTAAAAATAAATTTTTGTTACGAATTTTGTAGAAAACTTGTCACCCCAGAAATGGCTGAGAGGAGGTGTTATATTCATGGAGAGTTTACCTAAGACACCATCTGGAAAAATTCTACGGAAACAATTACTTAGTATGATACCTAAATTATGAACAAATTTTGCTAATTATTTTAATTCTTCTGTCGCGTAATTTCTGTATAATATTAAAGTATCTACTTAATACAAACAAGTGTCGCAAAAGTGTTCTATTTATTTACGAGTTTAAATATATAATAAATTTCGAATGCATTTAACGCAATTTACAAATAAATGCCAAATTATATTTTTACTACGACGTAACACAGCGATCGAACAAAATATCAATCATTTGGACGTATCAGGATTGTCGAATAAATTAATGTTCCAAGTGGAGACTCGAAGAGATGGCGAAAATATGTTACGTCACATGTTTCACGAATCTGTTCATTACACGTTTGGTAATTAACGTTTTCCCGAAGAGTAAAATTTGTATCTGGTATTTCACTTATTCTATTATTAATTATTACGTGTTTAGAATTTTGCGTCCGAAACATTATATGCTAATATAGTCTAAAGATTTTTTTTTCTTTTCTTATTGTCCCATCATTAACCCTTTGCACTCGACGATTTTTTGGCCAGAGAAGAGTAGAAAATCAAAAATTCCCTACTAGAAAACTGACAATACTTTTTTGAGCAGTAAATAAAGAATTGTATAATAATAGAATTGTAGAATTATTTGACTTCCATACTTCGCACACTTACATTACATTAAATTTGATATATTAATTGATATCGATCTTTCAAATTTTATGAAATGGTGACTGAAGCTCACCTCTCGAGTGCAAAGGGTTAAATATTCCTAATTGCATCATTGCAATTACTTACATTTTTCTTAGCGCGTTAATTTAAAATAAAATATTAATTTTTATACATTTACCGATAACCACTTGTGCAAAAATTTGTTAGAACTAACGCGAGTGAATATACTGTTAAGTTGTGCGTGTAGGTAAATCTGTTGGGCCGAAATAAAAATTTACAATAAATTGATTTACATGATTTTTAATCCTACGATGATGAGCATAGGAGTATTTTATGATTTCCTGTTCCACAGTTGAAATTTGTAGTGTTTCTCTCAAATCATCGTTTCTTATTGTTAGACACCACGGTGTCTTTAGTATTGTTCTTAGGGTTGCACGTTGAAGGCTTTTCATTTCCTTTCGACATTCTAAAGATAATTGAATGAAACATTTTAATATACAATAAGACCTCTGTGAGAAGAACATTTTTTCGCTTGAGATTTCAATTTTCAGAAAAACGAGGTTAGAAATATTTCGGCTTTTCGCATACTAATTGTGAGTTATCGCCTAAAAATTTGTCAGTATATCAGTGTCAATAAATTGCAGAAATAAAAATTGCGCGAAACCTTCTTAATCGATAAAGAATTTAGATCACCTTGATTTTTTTAAATAGCACTATATATTTCTGATTTTGTAATTTTACAGCTACTGAAGGAACGAATTTATATGTAACCTATTACAATCTATTATATGTATTATGACTTTTAAATTCCCTTAATTTAAAAATTTAAAATAACGAATTTTCTAAACGAATTAATTGAAACGTAATTACCGAAAGCGTAAACTAATAGAGAGGCAACCAGTGAATACGATTACTCTCATGCATAGGTAAACATGAGCTCACATGAATTTTTTTAATTGATCACACGCATTATATTAATAATTTGAAACGTGTAATAAGGGAAACGGACGATGGATACCGAAAAGGACACCTCGACTATCTCAATCAATTACAGATAAAATTTAGGGGACCAGGAAAAGCTGCAATCGTATACCCTTTTCTTCACTCTAGGTTTGACTTTCTACGCGAACAATTAGAATACTTGAGATATACCTCCCTTAGGAGAGAATAAAGATAATTATAAAATACCGATAGTTATTCCTTTTTACCCATAATCCCAATAACAATGAAGAGGAAAACTGAATCTATATTGTGTTAACATTTGAACAGCAATAACCTTGTAAAAAGAAATCGTATTATAAGATTTGCTTGGGTAATATAAAGGCCAAAGCCTGTACTTTCATATCTTTCAATTTAATTTTTACTTAGATGATTTTATAGTATAAAACAAAGACAGTCTTCCATTTGGAAAATCATAAAAATTCAAACGCTGGTAGTTCCACTGAAAAATTTTTTCCGGAGACCAAATTACCAGAAGTGAAACCACCGAAGTGTCTAGTTTCAAAAGAAACTCCATAAAAGTTAATGGGCGCTTTTTCATTTTCAAGTGATTACATTTTCAATGAAGAGTATACTACCGATATGATAATAACTGAAATAGTCAATATGGTGGAATATGTATCAGATACATTTCTGTTTACACACATCAGTCATAAATACACGAGTAAAATGCTATCTGGTTTTTGCAGTTATAACAAATGTAGGATCGGATTTTGGGTGGATTGACTTAAGATAGTATTGTTGGCTTCTTTATAGAATAAAATAAGCTCATAAATAGAATGACGGCGGCTGGCTATCGGATTTTGGGTGGATTGACTTAAGATAGTATTGTTGGCTTCTTAATAGAATAAAATAAGCTCATAAATAGAATGACGGCGGCTGGATATGAAGCAAGAGAGATTCGTTATGGGCACGCTCTTCTGATCTTTCTTAAAACTGACTCTAATAGACTGAAACTGATGGACTGTCCTTGCACACTCTCTTAGACTTTGGCACACTTAGACCGAACTCTTAGACTGAAAATGGACTGACTGTGACATTCAGTATGATAGCGGACATCATGAATCTTTCGCTTCAAGTTTTCACGTAGGTTTAATTTTTCGCAAGAATCGAGCTTATTAACACGTTAAGTGCCCAGCTCGTTTTGCTTGCCGTTTCGTTCAGGTCCAGACTCGGCCATCAAGTGGGCCACCGGCGCTGGGCGAGGTATTCATGAAACTCGGAGACACTGTACCAATTGTTATAATAATTTATATCTCAAACGTTAGGTCCAAAAATGGCGAAAAATTGAACACCAAAAGTTAGCACCTTTTGGTCCTAGTTTGGGCCGGTCGGGCCAGACGGAGAGCCTAGTGCCATTCCATAGGGACCAGTGTGACACTTAACGTGTTAAAGTGACTCTTATAAACTGACTTTGGACTTTAACTCACTGTCTTTGATTGAAAACTCCTAGACTTTGGACATTCTTAGACTGATTGATGGACTGTCTTAGACGATTTTAGACTTTGACACACTGTCTTTGACTGCAAACTCTTAGACTTTGGACATTCTTCGACTGACTGATGTAAGGGAAGAAACGAAACGAAATAATAATCCCACTTCTGGGATTCTAAGGGGGTTCGCTAATCTAACGACGCCACAGTCAGCACTGGCCTAATATTCTCTAAACGTAAAACACTCTAACGACGTTCTTAAAGGAACTATCTCAATGACTATCTCAACTGTCTCAATGATCAACTCGCTCAACTATCAACTGTCTCGCTATCTTCCAGAGCGGGCCCTTTTAAGCCCGTCTGGAAGGCAAGAGCCTGCCCCCAAGGAGGAGAAAACTCCCCCCACGTAACGTTGTGGGGTGGAAGGGATTCCTACTTCAGGTTAGGCTCTTCCTAGGATCACCCACGCGGGGACCCTTCCCGAGAGGTGCCCGCGGGCGCGTCACCCCCAGTTTTCGATGGGGATAACCGGGATTGCGCGAGGCTACCTCACGTGGCCTGGCCCCAACTTCCAGAGACTCGTCTGGCCGCCAGATTCTAACGGGACCTCTATACCTGGCGAGGTCTAACGATATCCTACATTCTTACACTAATGAACTGTCTTAGTCTGAACTGTTAGACTGACTTGAACTTCTTCCGCACTGACTGACTGCGCCCTTGCACCCTTATTTAAACCATTCATTCTGTCCTCTTTTCAAACTCAGGCTTTCCTTCCCAATCATGCCTCTTTCCTCGCAGCCTAGGTGGGCCAGGTACTTCAAACATATGTCGCACTTACAAACTAACTTTCAATCGTCTATCGCACTCGGCTCTGTCATACACATCCATTCGATCCACTTGCGCGCGTCACCTTTGTGTTAAGTTCAAACACTCCCGACACTCCTTCAAGTCCATACTCATTCCAATCCTATACAAATATGATCGAAGTTTGATGAAATAGTCCAATTTCTTGGCAACGAAAAATCGCGCATTAGCTGTGGTAATGGTTGACATAGATTTTAATATAAATATATATTGTGTATGTGAGAAAGAATGAGTGAATCAAGTATGCGTGTAATGAACGAAGTGTAGTATAGACTTTGTATATTTATATAATGTATGAAAGGAAAGAGGACAAATTAGAGAGTAGTTGGATAGGTCAGTAGTAATTTAGAATTGATTGAGAGCAAACGTGTGTATGAGTATCGTGAGAAAGAATAAACAATTAGATATATTTCATCGACAATTTTTACACTGTGATATAGTATTGTTAAATAACTATTTAATATTGTGGGATGGCGAGCGGTAGACACTGGCAATTTAATTATACTGGCTATTTAGTTTGAGAGTTGGAATTGAGAGAAACTTAGTGTAATATGTTAATTAAATAAACCAGTTTTATTATTAAAAGGGAATTGTTGTTCATTAGATGCGCAGATCTCGGTCTGCATAGGATTAATCTACCTAAAAATCCTATAATATATTCATTTAAATGTAATATCCACGATTAACATTAGCTTCTATGGGATTTCTGAAAACTCGAAATTTCTGGAGATTCGATTGACCCGATTCGTGATGATTTGGATCATGAAAGAAGTTTTTAAGGAAACTAACAGTGTTTGAATTTGGACAATTTTCTAAATGAAAAACCCTCTCTGTTTTCTACTGTAGAAACTTCTAATTAGAAATTAAATCTTATTGTTATTATTACTAATTAAATCTTATTATTTTTAATCTTATATATATGTGAAAGTACAGGCTTTGCTCTTTATATTGACCCCACAAATATTATTTCTTCTCACGATTTCTTCTCACAAAGTTATTGATGTTCAAGCATTAACGTAGTATAGATTCAGTTTTGCTCTTCACTGTACATCTCAACTTTCTATAGAAGAGAGTGCACGCTTATATTAATTAATTTATATT